CCTGGAATAATATATATTTACTGATTTCATGCTTTGTTTACATTTATGTGACATGTGTTCATCTACCAGGCATGCTTGTGCCTTTATAAATGAGTGTTATTGAAAGTATTTATATAGATCTAATCCTCATGGTATGTGTAACTAGTGTCCAGTCACCCATGTTTTGAAAATATACAAGTTAACAATTCATGTATTGGGGTCTAAAATGTCCTACATGGGTATAAAGCCCTTTTCTCAAAAGTGCTTTACCATTGACTAAAATGGTAGTCAATGAATTCTCTTAAGCCTCATGGGGATGATTCATGATGCACTACAATAAAATGACAATGTCTCTAAAAGTGAACCAAGTACTCACAGAAACTAAATAAATGAATTTTGAGTTCTTACTTGATCATAGCCCTAATATATGAAAAATTGGTTCTTATGACATGGCTTGACCTGGTTCTCCCCTTCATGAGGAAATAATCGATGGTATGGGTGCTATAGCAAAGTGTAGTGAAGAAATCAGGTGGTGCCTGTCTATTGTAAAAAATAGCTTCAGGGGTCTTAAAGATTGTCTCAAAACAGCAGCCATCTAAGCGAGGAGTCATCTAAGTGCACGGAGAAGAAGCACACTAGCCCATGTGACCAAAGGATTCTAAATAATAAATCCAAACTTGGAGGAGGAAATGGTGCCAATGCCTGTATCAGGCTAAGTTGTCTAGAGCAGTGGTTCTCAATCTTCCTAATGCCTTGACCATTTAATACAGTTCCTCATGTTGTGGTGAAAGTCAACCATAAAATTACTTTTGTTGCTACTTCATAACTGTAATTTTGCTACTTTTATGAGTCAGGTGACCCCTGTGAAAGGGTCATTTGACCTCCAAAGGGGTTGCAACCCACAGTTGAGAACCGCTGCTCTAGAGAAACAAATCCAGTGACACTCATATATGTATACGAAAGAGCTTTATGTCAAGTAACAATTATATATCAAGAAGGCATCCTAGCCTGATCCAACCCAAGTCTATAAATCCAATGCTAATCCCTAAATTCCTCTTCAGACTGAAGTAGCTGTAGGCTGGATGACGACAAAGGGTGAAATAGAAAGCAGGGAGATCACAGGCCAGTGAGTGTAGTCATATGAATCCAAAGTGCCTGGAAGCATGACAGGGCCCCCATAGCTCTCAAGATCAAGTCCCAGTGAGGAAGAAATGGCAGAGAGAAATAGTCTCTGTTTGATCCTATGCAAAAGGCCACTCACCTAAGGAAGTGTCATCAAGCTACCACTTGACAAGGTTGAACTCCGCCCCTAGTCAGGCATGTCAAGTTGACATACCGGTAATTAAATATCAAAAACTCAAATTCACTGCCATGGAGTCATTGATGACTCATTGTGACCCTATCGGGCAGGGCAGAACTGCCTCTGTGAGTTCGAGACTGTAACTATTTACAGGAGTAGAAAGCCACTTCTTTCTCCCGAAGAACTGCTGGTGGTTTCAAACTACGGACCTTGCAGATCGCAGTCCAACTTGTAACCACTATGCCACCAGGGATCCTCATCTTACTACCACAGCACCTAAATTCGATTTTTAAAAAATGTTTCCTAAACATTTTAACATATAATAAAGATGAAAGAATTTTACAGTTACCCATAAGCTTAGATTCTACCAACAACATTTTATTGTAGTACTTAATTTTGTCGCATAATATATTCATTTATCATTCTTCTATTGATTCATTAATCATCTCTATTTTTGCCTTTTTACAGTACACTTGTTAAATACTTCACCTTGTATATCATCAGACTGGTTTGAGAGTGGGAAGTTTACATGGAAGCAATCATTTGTTAAAGTAAACACTGGGTCTGCTGAAAGCTATGGATGATAGTGGTAGCCTAAAATTCATTTGCAGAGTTCCTACTTGGATTGGGGCCCTGGTGAATCCCCAATGCCCATAGATAAGGAATGCTACAGTTCCAATATGAGACAAAGAGCATTGTAAAGCAAAATGTAATAGCTGTAGGGTGGAATGTAACATCTTGTAATTTGCTCCCCCTCTAGACACAATGGGATCTATTCTAAATTTTTAATGTTCTTTGCTTTCTCTTAGATTGAGGTCTTTCTCTGATTTATATCGTCAGTATTGCTGAGTCATTGCTAGTTCTTTGACTTTATTTTTTTTGTGTTTCTCTGTATAGGGAAACCAAGATGGGTGGATTTATGAAGACAGTAGCCGGATTAATGATTTCTTGGGGGTATGGAATTGGGGGAAATGAGTACACATCTATGGGTATAAGAAGGAAGCAAAAGGTTTCAAAGTTTTTCCAAAGTTGTGTCGATGATTGCAAAATTTCTTGAAAATGATTGAAGTATTATTGAAATGTATGATGTGTTAATTATAGCTCAGTAAAATAAATAAATAAAAGGCACCAGTCACCTAAAAAAATGAATGAACAAACTTGAGGATAGACCAAGAGATTATTCAAGCCAAAGAATAGGGAATAAAATAAAATGAATAGAGCCTCAGGGAAATATGACACTTAATAGCATACCAATGATAATGGGAGTATCAGAAGGACAGAAAGGAGAAGAAAAAAATCATTCTTAGCTATTTTCCCAAAATGGTAATAAAATTTTAAGTCATCCATATTTTCTCCATTATACTGGGACGTAGTTGCTACTCATACTGTAGTTAAGCATTTAGTATCTAGAGCCAGAAAAACCTGAACTGAAATCATGCCTTAGCTACTTATTGCTGGAAAAAGCAAGTTACTTAAACTTCTGTAAACATGTCTTTCAATAAGATGGGTGTGGTAGGAAGAACGCTAAAATAATTTCCAAGATCTCCCTCATCCCCACCACCAAGTGTCAAAGTCCTCCATAACCCCCAGGACTATGAATAATGATGGGTTTTACTCTAGCGATTACGATATGTTACATGACACAGTTGACCTCAAGGTAGGAAGATAAACTGGGTGCACCTAAATCAATCACACACCAAAATTTCTGGTGGCAAAAGAGGATGTTAGAGTGAAAGCACTGGAATGATTTTACATGCTGTTTCCTTCAGTTTGGGCCTAAATTTAGGTGAGAAGTAAGGAGCCCTGGTGGCATAGTGGTTGCCTATTAGTTTGCTAACCACAAGGTCAGCAGTTCTTAACTACTGGCTGCTCCTGGGGAGAAAGACAAGGCTCTCTATTCTCTTAAAAGACTTAACAGTCTCAGAAATTCACAGGGGCAGGTCTATCCTGCCCTTAAGGTTGCTAAGAGACAGCCTCAAGAGGCTAGCAGTGAGTGTGAGGTCAGAAATAGGAGCCCTAGGGGCATGGTGAGTTATCTTTGATAAAGATTTACAACTTTGGAAACTCACTGGGGAAGTTCTGCCCTGTCCCACAAGATCTCTAAAGTCAGAATTCATTCAACAGTGCTTGCAGTGAGTTTAGTTTTGGGTTTGAGGTGAGAAATATATGGCCATACATGCATTTATCAAAAGTTTCCCACACTGGAGCAAGGGTTCACCAAAGTGCTTTGAAACTGTCTTTAAAAGCTGTAAATCTTGTTTTTTACTGTTTTATTACAGAAGATATTTTCTTGGTCACACAGTAATTGCAAATGGGAATTTCGAGTTAGGAAGTGGGAGCTCTTTTCCAAAATTTCTTATCCAAATTACGACTTGAAAAGTTACGCTCCATAGTGTAAAGGAGCACTTACTTTACCCCAAATCTTTCTCATATTCTTTAAAACTTTCTTTTAATTTTTTTCTTTTTAATTTCTCATATCCTAAGCAATGAACTACACCCATTTATACCGACACACACACACACACACACACACACGAATCAATATGCCTCAAAATCTATACATACGTTAGCATCCCTGCCTTTTTTCTGAATAAAAAGTCCTTCAAAGAGAGTTGGTTTTTTTTCTTCCTCTCCCTGGAGTCTCGTAGTGGTTAATATGCTCAGCTGCGAACCTAAAGGTGGGAGGTTTGAAGTGGTTTTAACCACTTGCCGCATCTACTTCCCTAAAGATTACAGTCTTGGAAACTCTTGAGATTTTTGACAATGACTCTCCTTAGGTTTCCTCTTCCAAACCTGGCAGCTTATGTCTTCCTATGGGGTGGCAACTCAATAGAATTTGGTTTGGTCAATGCTGCTTTATGTTGTTTAGAATCTAGTTGCCCACCAGTGCGCTCTCCACTCCTACTCCCACCAAGCATATAGCGCCCAAGTCTATATATACATACTCTCTTTACTTTCCCAACTACCTTGGCACCTTCGCGTTAAACTTCCTTAAATCTGTTGGTTTGCAAGCCTGTGCTTCCTAGCCTGCAGCTGTACCTTCGCAGCTTTAGCAAAATTATAGTAGGCATTTCCCACTCTTAATAAAGTGAAACTAAACTAAAGGTCTCTATAACGAACGCCTGAATTTTTAATTTCAGGGAAAATTTTTCTTGTTGTTTATATTCTTTACTTTCATAGTAACAATATAAACATTAATATATACATTTAATTAAATGTTATGAAAACGTCGCGCTCGGCGTTACAGGGCTAGAGCAGCGGTTGTCAACCTTCGTTGCTACTTCCTAACTGTCGTTTTGCTACTGTTACGAACTGGGCGATATCTGTGCAAGGGTCGTTGGCCACCCCCAGGTAGAGCGAGAACCGTTGGTCTCTAGATTCTAGATCGTTGGTGAAGGAGCTCCCTGTTGCCATGGTGAAAACCGCTGTTGCCATCTTTAGTACGATGGACGACGGCTCCACCGAAGAGAAATTGAAGCGCCGGTAATTCTCCAGACGAAAGCTTTCCAACTAGCCTAGACCCGCCGGAGTCTAGCTCGTAGCCCTGTTATTATCAGGCGACAGCTAGACGCGGCGGGGGTGAAGGCGCTCAAGTACGTGAGAGAAGGACGCCAGGGCGGGGCCAAGCGTGCGCCTGCCTAGAAGCTCGGAGCTCGCGCTGGACGCAAGCGTGCTCGGCGCAGAGCTCAGGCGGAGTAAGGAAGTACGCTCAGCGCACCGGAAGCCACTTGGAGAGAGCCATGGCGGGTTTGTCTGTGAGGGACCCTGCGGTGGACCGTTCACTGCGCTCTGTGTTCGGTGAGAAGTTTAAGGGTGCCCAGCGGCGGGGAAGGGCAGGAGGAGTCAGGGAGCGGCGAAACATGCCCCCCCCCAGCCACTCTGCCATCTTCTGAACCCGAACCGGTGGTGGGATCGGGCGTGGAGCCCGTTTAGCTTATCCTCTGGGCGGTCAGCCTGGTGGATTTATGGGCCAAGAGACGCTTCCCTTCGTCCGAGGTCCCGCCGCCTTTCTGCGATATTGTTGAGGGAGTTGGGCGAGCGTTCGTCCCTCTGCTTATCCTTCTTGAGATCCAGTTATTTGGAAGCGAGGGCGCATGCTGACAGCCGTTTACCGCCCCATAGTACTTCTCACCCCCTATTCCGTGGTGTGGGGTAGATATCCTTGTGTCTTCCCCTGCCCCAACCCCACCCCAGCCCCTTAAGAACTTTCTTTCCTTGGCGTGTTACCAGTAACAGTTTAGTGATAAAGAGTAGCAGCCACCTGGTGCCCTAAGGTGGGTTATAAATGAATGAATGAATGAACGAGTAAGACCTCTTAGAAGAATTCTAAAAAGGATTGATAAACTCTGAGTAAAAATTTGCCAACTGAAATAAGTTGCTCTTCTAAGGATTTATGGTGCTTTTTAAAGCACCTTTTGAAAAGGGTCACAACTAAACAAGGCAGAATAATTTTTATAAATTCCCTCAACTTCATTCGTGGACTTTCACTTCTAAATGTTCTGTGTGTGTCCACATGTGGACATTTGAACCTCTTTTAACTTTGGGGGAGTAGTCATTGGACGGGAAATAAAACTTTGGGATTTTCACTCAGGTTAAGCAAATTCTAACACTGGGACATCAGTCTGAGAACTAACATTTAGCAGTGCTAGCAGCTGTTTTATTTAGTCTTCTCAGTGGTTGCTTTTTGTTAGCAGACACAATTAAGAATCTTATCAGGAGTACCATAGAACTAGGATTTAGAGCACTCGGTGTTTTGAGAGATCTGCTACATTCTCAATGATAAAATTAGTTTTATTTGCTTACTTTCTCACAAAAGCTCTATGTTGCAAACTCAGAATTTGATCTTCCCTTCCTTAGTGGGGAACATTCCTTATGAAGCTACGGAAGAACAGCTAAAAGACATCTTTTCTGAGGTCGGACCTGTTGTTAGTTTTCGGTAAGAGCCCCATTCTTTTGCTTCTTGATGGGGGGAGTGTAGTTCTTAAAAATTGCCACAGCATTGGCCATTAGGAATAATAAGTTGTCTTTTTTTTAAGTTGTGTTTTTTAATAGTGAGCTTTTAATGTGCATTAAAAAATTAACTGTATTGATATGTAATTCACATACCATAAAATCCATACACATTCTTATCTAAAAGATGTGTATAATTTAAAGTGGTTCAAGGGGTTTCGTAAGGCAGTGTCAGAATTACATGGTTTGATGCTATCGTGAGCCAAATTACAGCATGGAGATGTTAGCAGGAACCCTGTATGTGTGTGTAACATTTGTGTCCGATACTTGGTTCTGTTCTCCAGATTAGTATATGACAGAGAAACAGGAAAACCAAAGGGTTATGGCTTCTGTGAATACCAAGACCAGGAGACAGCCCTTAGTGCCATGCGGAACTTGAATGGGCGAGAATTCAGTGGTAGAGCACTTCGAGTGGATAATGCTGCTAGTGAGAAGAACAAAGAAGAGCTGAAGAGTAAGTATAAACCCAAGTTGTATGAAATACCTGCTCATAAAGATGTAACAGTGGAGATTTTCTTTTTAGGGTATGCTCTAGAATATGTGATGGTTCCCCACACAGTATCTTTCCTTGACTGACGAGGTACCTTAATTAAGGAAGTCTGTACTGTATATACTCATGTATAAGCCAAGTTTTCCAGCACATTTTTAATGTGTTTTTTGTGGCAAAATTAGGTGTCTCTGCTAATATTCGGGTCGGCTTATACTCAAGTATATATGGTGTCTTACAGATAAGAGATAAAGTGGACAATGAAAGTCATCCTTACTGTTTCCAGAAATTGATTTCCAGTTAAAGATGACTTTATTCAGGCTCACCATGCCATCAGTAGGTATGAATCATGTTTTTAGTGTTTATATTCTTAGACCACATTGCCAGATCTATAATTGGTACTAAGCCATCATCCATCCCCTCTTCTCCATGAAATAATAGAACTGAAAATTCAATTTTGGAATTAGCATCTTCTATTTAAAACCTTTTCTTCTGTAATGTTTTATCAGGAGAAATTCACATGCCTCATTTCCTACACAATCATAATCTCCTGTTTTGGAGTGAGAATATAAATTATACTCTGTCACTTCCATAGAAACTAAGGTCTTGCAAATCACCTATTTCTGAGCTCCAGGGAATTTTTAAGTTAGCAGCTGGTCCTGGAAAGTAGATACTTAGGGAGGAAGATGCTTTAACTCTTTATTTTTATTCCCTTAACTCCCCAATCAGGCCTTGGCACTGGTGCACCTGTCATTGAGTCACCGTATGGAGAGACCATCAGTCCTGAGGATGCTCCCGAGTCCATCAGCAAAGCAGTTGCGAGTCTTCCACCAGAGCAGATGTTTGAGCTGATGAAACAAATGAAGGTGGGAGGATGTATTGGTTTACGAACAAGTACAATCATGTCAGATTTTTAATGGGATGATTGATTAAATGGAAGTGGGTTCCCTGAGCTCCAAAAAGGTATACCTGTAGACCATCATTTCCTATTCCTTCAATATTATGTATACACAGTGTATTTTATGTACTATGCGAAAGAGTTCCCTATTTTTGTACACAGACATACCTATAACACGCAATCTGACAGAGTTTTGTGGTCCATGGGAATCAAATATAAATTATTAAAATATGGTTGGTGCGTTACCCCTAAATAATAGTATTAAGGAATCTAAAATGCCTCTTCCTACTCTTAGCAGAGCCCTGGTAGTGTAGTCGGTTACTTGTTGCTAAACCACAAGGTCAGCAGTTTGAAACTACCAGCTGCTCTGTGGGGGAAAGATGAAGCTTCCTACTCCTGTAAAGGTTTATAGACTTGGAAATCCACAGGGTCGCTATGATTTGGAATTGACTCAGTGGCAGTGAGTTTGGTTTGGAAAGCTCTTTTCACTCTTGCCTGACGTGGCCAAGCTTTTGTATACTATGCAAAAACCATTGATAACTTGAAGAGCTTTTGGAATATTACTTTTCTCACATGGGGATGGCACTAAATCACTATCGACCTCTAAGGAGTAAGTAAGGAACTCAGTAATGAAACCTGTATATCTTCTCAGCTTTGTGTCCAGAATAGTCCTCAGGAAGCACGCAACATGCTGCTGCAGAACCCTCAACTGGCGTACGCCTTGCTGCAAGCACAGGTGGTGATGAGAATTGTGGATCCGGAGATTGCTCTGGTGAGTTATTCTGGTTCTTTTTTTTTTAATCATTTTACTAGGGGCTCATACAACTCATCACAATCCATACACACATTAATTGTGTTTTTTTTTTTAATCATTTTACTAGGGGCTCATACAACTCTTATCACAATCCATACACACAT